TCGGCCAGTCTTGGTTCAAGCAAGCCATCCCAGTCGACTGTGGGAAGCTCGTAGTCGTAGCGGTGCCAAAGTACAGTGTTTCGTATCTTGCCGACATGATGTGGCTGATCACAGCGGCCCTTTGTTTCATCACAGATCTTTGCCCGGTTCGGTCAAAGCGCATCTTGGTCCAGGACCATGCAGCAGAAAGAAACGACTGGCAGAATGATCTGGAAGATCTGCTTGAAGAGGCTCGAGCGATGGTCCAAACAGCTGCGCGAAAGCTGGAACGGGGTGACGAGGAGGCGTTCGAGCTTGCAAAGAAGTGGTTTGGGCCGGAAGCTGCAGATGACCCAAGTGTAGAGAAGGAGCTCTTAAGAGTGATGAGGTCGACCACAAACGTCTTGAGCAATTTTAAGGCCGTGAAGAAGAATCTTTGTCATAGTTGGGTAACATTTTACATTTTTAAGGGTACTTAAACCCAATAGGGAATATAAATCTAAATCTTTAATACTACTCCAACCATGAACTAGGAATTGCGACAAGGACACCTTCGCATATGTTTTTCCGGAGAAGTTCCCGAAGCGAGGCCTCTACGAGATGATCCTGTGCCCTTTGTACTTTAAATCGAACCGCAATGTGCAGCTTGAAACCCTCATTCATGAAGCATCTCACCACAAGAAGGCCTTGCTGGATGATGTGTGTGCCTTGGAGACCAACTGACCCTGAAAAGTAGGATCCCTGTACCCTCACACCAAGAATCCATATGATGGTAGTCGAGGCTGAAACCCTTTTAGGGTACATCTCGTCCTTAAGGTATGGACAGCATTGAAGGACGCGCTCGTCACCAGCGTGAAACCAAGGAGTTTATCGTGATGAGCCAGTACCTTGTGAAGAAGTATGCAGGTACAACGCCGGTCTATCCTGACCTGCAGTTCGACCTTGATGTTGCTGGGGTAGGTTTGCGCATGTTGTTTCTTCTTAATGTAGCCCACAACACACACACACACACACACACAATGCGAAAACACAACGCACTCAAACAGCACAGTAAACGGTCTGTGTGCACTGCTCACCCAGCTTCAAAACAAGGCAACCCTGAAAATCACGGAACGCCTCCTTCCAGGGACTGCACAAAGCGCATCACGATCTTGAGCCACATAGGTGG